AGGCGTGAGCCACCATGCCCGGCCCCCTCAGCTCTTCCAGTGCTCATTATTTCCCTGTCATGTTGGGTCAAGAACCACTCCATCAGGAAGGTTTCTGATTACCTTCCTCCTTCCTACCCGCTTTTCACCAAAAAGCCAGTTTCTCTCTGTGCCACTCCCTAACCCCTACTGGTTTGACGTATTCTCCCAGGAGAGTGACACATAGACCTGCCTCGTTCCCCTTCTGTAGCAGAGTCTCCCCCACAACTCCCCAAAGGCTTGGTTTAGAGAGGCTCCTGAAGCATCTCCTGAGCTGGTGCTGTCTCTACCCACCTATCCAGATGGATAGAGACACGAGCTAGGAGCCTGGTCTCTCCATCAGCTCCCCTGTTCATACTCTGACCCTGCACATCCCAGCCAGTCCTCTGGGTCAGCACTGCAGAATGACTGCAGACTGCCCTCCTTGTACAGACACATTCTTAAACACACACACAACCAGAAATGTGGGAAGAAATAAGATGCCTTGTACAGAGTTCACTGTTTAATGTTAAGCAAAATAGATTTCTTCCTATTGTTGTGGATGGACGGGAAAGGTAGAAACTGAGGGAAGCAGCCAGGTGTGGTGGCTCACGCCGGTAATCTTAGCACTTTGGGAGGCTGATGCAGGCAGATCACCTGAGGTCAGAAGTTCAAGACCATCCTGGCCAACGTGGGGAAACCCTGTCTCTAATAGAAATACAAAAATTAGCTGGGTGTGGTGGCACATGCCTATAATCCCAACTACGTTGGAGGCTAAGGCACAAGAATCGCTTGAACCTGGGAGGTGGAGGTTGCGGTGAGCCGAGATCACGCCACTGCACTCTAACCTGGGCGACAGAGCAAGACTCTGTCTCAAAAAAAGAAAAAGGGTGGGGGGAAAGAAACAGAGAAGCAGCAGCCCTCTGGAAGATTATAAAGTAGTTCTAAGTAGTTCTGTGGAATATTTAGCCCTGAGGAAAGAAAAGGAGACTAGAGGAGTCTGTTATGCATGCTAATCTGGTGTGAGCTTCAGGTTACCTTGTAACAAACAAGGCAGTAGTGTTAAAATTGTCAGTGAAATGACAGTGTAAAATAACATAAAAAGTGAATTTATAAGATTTTCCACTTTTTTCTTTTAAATTTCCCTCCAGATTATTGTAGATGATGATGACAGTAAGATATGGTCGCTCTATGACGCAGGCCCCCGAAGTATCAGGTGTCCTCTCATATTCCTGCCCCCTGTCAGTGGAACTGCAGATGTCTTTTTCCGGCAGATTTTGGCTCTGACTGGATGGGGTTACCGGGTTATCGCTGTAAGTATTACTGATTCAGTATTAAAATGTAGACCGACGTTTTGTGGGTTTGTGTGTGTGTGTGTGTG